GATCAGGCATACGCTACACACTCCATTAAATCCCATTTATAATCAAGTTCGAGGAGTCGAACTTACAGAAGCAATCCTAAACCAATGCTTTAATTTTATGGCATATTTACAACGGGAAAAGTACTTGCCACACCAATTCACGACTGGAGTTCCTTCTTGCGTCCCAAATGTCTCGAAAGCCATCATTGAATTGTAGACAAGTGATGATGCATTCGCTAGATTTGAGACCTATGGCAATTGGTGAGCACTCAAACTAGGTTTGCAAGTTCGTAGACGTGCCCATGAAGTTTGGTCCTCTAATAACGCAACCAACTGTATATGAACATGTTCCCAAAATTCGCTCTTTGTTTTCACTGAGCTGGGGACAAGACTAGAGTCTGCATGAGGCATTTTTCCCTTGATTATCGGATCTGAGAATAGGGTGAGGGCCAGAAGTAGAATGCCACATGGTGAGATATCACGCCTTACTCAACCTTTCTAATCGATACCTGTGAAATATCATGATAATTAAATGTATATACACCCAAGTAATCAAGCTAATATAGCACGAAAGAATGCCAGTGGCGTCTTGGAATGTAGCGGGCCAATACAAATACTCGCAAGGATGTCGATTAGTCTATACTGTTAATTGATATAAGTATAAGGAGCCAGTTGCTCGCTATTGTTGTAATACTTGAGGTACAAAGGAGGAAGATCATCTGTCGACACGGCACGAAGCGAAGCCGGAGCCATCTTAGGAGTGGACATTGCGCTATTGGACCTAGACGCTGCCTCTAGTCTCTTCGTAATCTCCTTGCGTACTTCTTCTTCTCCAGCTGCATTAGCTGCTCGCATGGCTTGCAACTTTCTCGCCATTCCAACGATCAGGCATACGCTACACACTCCATTAAATCCCATTTATAATCAAGTTCGAGGAGTCGAACTTACAGAAGCAATCCCAGTGTAATGAATGCGAGAATACGTTCTTGGTTGCGGAACTGAACTTCATCCGAATCATGCGCAATGACCACGACGGTCGTGACGACCAACGCAAACAACAGCACCCTCGTCACAAGTCCACAAAGAGCAGATGCCCATCTTAACCTCGGAGGCAACAATTCGTCATCCCTTATCATGAAACAAGTGGCAGACACGCAAGCCATCAAGAGGTTGACGCACGCAGTGGCCAAGAGGAGGTAAAGAGGAGGTTGGATGCTCCAATCACTTCCATCGCTCGAATAGACAACGTTTGCTTTGATAGAGATGAAAAAGAGTGCAAAGGAGAGGGTGATGCGGATGGGGATGATGAGTTTGAGGCACCGGATGTAAAGTAGGCCTGGAGACATTAGCGCAGTGATATACGGGGGGTTTCCTTTAGTTTAGGGGTGGTGAGTGACTGTAATAAACGAGTGAAAAGAGTGACGATAACTGAGGGACGGCTCCAAAAGAATGGCCACTTGTAAAGGTTGATCGACTTTGTTCATGACCTAAGCAGTGCACACTTTGTAACTTTTAAGGGTATTCATTCTAAGACACTAGATACATAAATTAATGGTGTTTTTGATCGCGAAGAGAGTGAATGTATCCGTCGCGGATAGGGGTTATGATCGTAAGATAGTTGCGGAGAGGAGCGGGACTTAGCATGTTAAGGAATATACAATGAGAAGACGTGAAAAACAGTGACTTGTTTCCCGCTTATATACGGGAAAGGAAAAGGGGATTCGTCTATGCGAGACTGATCTTGACGGGGAGCTTGATTCCGTCGGCTTCTTCACCGACAACACGAGGAGCAAGAGTAGACCCGAATCGGAGCATAATCTTGGCACCCGTATCCTCAAACACGAGGTGCTTGATCAACGTATAGACAATAACCTTGTACTCGAACAAGGCCAACCGTCTGCCAACGCACGCACGAGGACCCTCAGAGAACGTAAAGATACCAGACCAGCCACCGCACATTTCGGAAGCAGGCTTGAGTCCTTGTTCACCAGGCGAGCAGTACTTGTCACCGGCGGGACGGCCGACGAGCCAGCGGGTGGGACGGAAGACGTCGCCATCACCCCAAACGTCGTTGTCGCGGTTGATACCAATGGAGGGGATGTGAATGACTTGGCCGGCTTTGACAGGAATAGACTTGATCCAGGAACCGTCGGCACCACGGATGGGGTCACGGAGAGGGAGGACATCATCGTGTTCGGCAACCTTTTCATTACGAGCAGAGGCGGGGAACATGCGGAGACTAGGGACAATTAGCACAAATTCTTTTAGAAGAGCAACGGCAACTCACTTTTCCTTGCAGACGGCATCGAGGAGAGGAAGAGTGTCTTCGTTGGCAAAGTCGTCATAGGTAGGTTCTCCGGGGAAAGAAAGGATTTCGTCCCTCAACTTGTTCTGAATGTCCTGGTGGGTGGCGAGAGTCCAAAGAGTGAAAGCGACGGCACCAGCGGTAGTTTCATGACCAGCAACGATAAAGGTGACAATGTGATCGTAGATTTCAGCCATATCGACGCGCTTGGAAGCATCCTGGTGAGCATTGGCACGGACTACTAAATCATCAGTCAAGAGCTGAAGGACAGAATCAACGTAAAAAAACTCACGCAAGATGGACATGAGATCTTTGCCACCCTTTTCGTCAACTTCACCGTTGGCAACGATTGCACGAGCAATTTCGCGGACACGTTCGGCAACAGCACCTTGGGCCTTGATAGCCTCGAGAGGGAGAGAAGTGATCCATGGGAACAAGCGGAGAACCAAGAGAGCAGTGAAACCAGCCTGCTCCTGACCCATCTGGTTTTGCTCCCTCCAGGACTCGGTGATCTTGTAACCTTCTCCCTTGCCATGAACCGAATTAAAGTCGTGACCAAAAGCCACACGGCCAATTACGTCCAAAGTAACGGGAGCGACCATCTCGAAGGCATTGACGGTGATAGAACCACCACCATTGGCGACATCAGAGGCGATTTTAGCCTGGAATGCATTGGCCACCTGGTAGACATCACCGCTCATGTTGCGGACGTTGTCCGCGGAGAACGCGGGTGCGACCATTCCGCGCATCTATCACATTCAGCATCAGTACCGAAATTTTTTACGTTTTGCAAAATGAAACGGTGCTTACCTTTTTGTGAGCTTTCTCACCCTCCACCCATATCAAGGAACGGCCTGTCAATCTATTGATGGAACATAAGCTACCGCGTTCCGCGGAAAAAAAAAAAGTTTGAACTCACCGCTCGATCAACGGAATGAAGACAGGGGAATGGGGATAGTTGTAGGTGTTCTACGGGGTAATGGTCAGGACCTGGCCAGGTCGAAAGAGAGAGTCGAAGCGAGTCGGTTGCGCACCTTGGCGTAGATATGAGAAAGAGCAACAGTATCACCGACGACGAGCTAGAAGAAGAAGTTCGTGTGAGCACAAAGATGGTCTAGAAGTCGTTCCAGGCGGCGCGACTCACAATGTCGGGATGGCCCCAAGCACCCTTCATCTTGAAGGCCTTGCCCACTTCCTGGAACCAGGCTCGCCATTGCCAGCCCGAATTGTCTTCGAATTCGGTTTTTTCGTGGCCCCAGATCAATGAGGCGCCGGCCTAGAGGGTAGTGTGGTGAGCTCCTGGCTCCTGGCTTGTACATATACAGGCTCTACTCACCGGCGACGGTACGTTCTTGAGGAGGAAACGACGATTCCACCACGTACGAATGACGAGAGCTATAATGGCGACTGGAATCGCAGCCGCGATGAGGAGAGGCAACGACATGGTGGTTGGAGACGAAATGGGTGAGGGGGGATTGGGCTGCAGCGTAACCTTGTTGGCCTACTTATGAGAGTCCACGCGACAAGGACGTGAATAGAGATTCCTTACTCAGATTTCATGCCCTGAATAGAAAACTTTGTACAGAAGCACACTGCCCAATTAGGCAATGCCATTCGAAGAAACGCCGATTGTGGTTATGCTCAGAGGCCGTAAAACTCTTGTTCTCTTCACCAGACATCCTCACGCACACTCACTATAATCTGGGCTCAGCTCACTCCTTGTTCATCCAGAGCTCCTGCTATCACTAGTGGGTGCGCGCCCACCTCCGTTGTTTCAACCCAGTCGCCAAGGGCTCAAACGCGGATCAAGAATTCCCCATTATGTGCGCCGCGCGGCAGCAAACGGACTCTATCGCATATCGTCTAGACCATATATTTGTCAACTGCATCTATCAAAGCGTGATAAGCTTTCTGTAGTGCTGAATATACGCGTTGGCGTCGAGGGCGAGCTACGTAAAAAATAGATCAGGGGCCAGGTCACTCTCCACCACCAACGTCAATCTGAGCTGTATCTGTACCTTTTGCATCTCCACTCCCCGTTTGAACTCCTTCCGAGCTCCCTTCATCGCCGCTTTGCGAGACTGCTTGCGATGGTCTACATGGGCGTTAACTGAGGTGGCGTCTTCAGCATTGTAGGCGCGGTAGGTTAAATTCCAAAGCCAAGGGTTCTTACCCTGCGCCTCTGCCTCCTGCACTGCTGCCTCGAGCTCGTTTTCGATCGTTTCAATTGACCCAAGGTGCTCATCCACGAGTTTGGTTCCCAGTTTCTGGTTAGTGGTCAGTGGGCCAGATAGATTTAGCGTGCCACCACCTCCTCCATGCCGCATCCTACCGCCACCCAGCCAGTCTCAGTCAGCCACTCACTGATCGCCTGCCAATCATCGCTATGATTTCAGAGGTCTCGGGTTCAACATCCCTTTGGACCAATACTTCCATATCCGCGAGCATCTTCGTCCTACCCATGTGTCTTTCAGCTCTTGTTCGAAGCAGCGTGCTTGTCAAAAGGTCCTACAAGTACTGGCTGCATGCCGCCTTCCTTTTCTCCGACTCTTCTTGCGCTTCAGCAAACAGTCTTGTGATAGATTCTTCCAGCTTGACATGTACATTTGAACTCTTGTTTGTACTCTCTGAAGACGATTTTCAGTTAAGGTGTTCTCCACAATAAAGGACCGGCATCTCCCACTTTTTGAGCGAGCGGCCGCCAGCCGCTGAATAGCCAACAAACTAAAGAGGCGAAAACAGGGAACACGTTGATGAGCTCACGCTTAAAACATCATAAAGAGTTTGTTCGGATGATGACTTACTCTGTGTCTTGATAGCCGTTCTTATCCTCATCAGACCCACCCTCCGACTCGTTCGCATCAAGCAGGCTATCAAATTTCATAGAAGAGCTGAATCCAGAGACGACGCGTCCCTTTTCATTGTTCGTCTTTGTATTCTTTCCCGTTGCGGATGCAAACCCTTCTGCGAGCTTGACGCGACGGCCTTCTAGTAGCATACCGGAATTGGTCAGCGGGAAATCAAGAGAAAAGAAGCTTCGGACTCTTTCCATTAACTAGTGTCGTGGACATGGTTAGTTGTTCAATGCGTGCTTTGGCTCACAAGCGACGAGTACGAAGGGTGGAATGGCAATTTCAAACTCCGCTCACTTTCGTGTACCCCGAAACAAGAACCATCCAGTGCGACAGAGTGGCGGGAAAAAATAACAAAATTACCCCTCTTTTCAACATCGAGTGTAGTTGACCGTGCTTATTGCTGCTGTGGCTATTCTGATCACGGCACTGCTAGTCTGGAAGGTACCTTAGTGAGCTCGTGGTGAGTGGACCAGAGGAGCTCATAACAGATAGGAGGGATCACGCTCGTAATGAAGATTTTATTAAGCGTATAAACTCGTCATTCGTTATAATCACCAACGAATCCGCTCTAATATCAGGTAGCGGATCGAATAGGCTCTAAAAGCATGTCTCGAATGGTCGAGATCTAGCGAGCTATGAGTAATCGTTGGAGGGGTAATAGACGTTTGAGACCACTCACCGAGATCCGAGTCTTTTGTGATTCTGATCCAGGAAACATCCATAGTCAAGGCGATGGGGTATTTATCATAGTATTCCTTTCGTCCCAAAAACCGCGCATATATACTTCTAAGTTCTTCATCCCTATCAAGCCATGAGAGTAGAATATCTTTCTCTTGCATAGGATATGGCTTTAACTTTATTTTGAATTTGCCACGATCTCCCATCTCACTAACTTTTGTACTCGCAAAGCATGGCATTGAATTGAGGATACACTTCTTGCAGCCAGGACTAGCGATGGAATCAATGTCCTACCTCCAACATTAGGGTACCAGTACTCACATGGTCAAATCTAAAATCCTTTCCGAAATCCGGTGCTTCGAAACCTCCCGATTGCTAGGTCTATCTGGAAACTTTTGCCTCAGTAAATCTCGGATAGGCCAGAACAACGCCCGAGGATAGTCTAAACGAAGCTCTACAGACGAGATTGGAGAGACAGATTGACAAAAGAGATTCCTTCTCTCCAACATAATGAAGAATATGTCCCAATGAGGAATTTCTTTGAGATTCAAGCTGGAGAGTACCGGAAATGAGTGGGGTCGATATGCCAGTGAGCAGCAAAAGTCGGTCTGGTGTGCTGTTAGAATTATTTCCCGGAGGGTTCGTGAAGCGTGGTTGACAAAAGACAGTGGGTTCATCAAGGATATAAGATGCTCTAGAGATGGTAAGGCCCAATAAGTAGACGGCAGCTCCAGTGTTAACCTCATAGATAAGGAATATATAGACACAGTCAGTGTTGTGGCGGAGGGAGAGTTAAGAGTCCAGAGTGTGCCACTCAGATCTGCTGTGGCTTGAACATGTTTTACCTTCGATGGGACATTGATGGGAGATTCAATCGGTCCACCGACGTAAAATATGAATTTGGATAGTTTTTGGAAGCTATCTTGATGCAGGGTAACATACAATTCGGTGCTGCGTGTAGGGAAAAATGTTAATTCGGATAAGGAAGGAAACACTCTGGGAATACTCTTGCAGAATGGTTCGAGGTCCTTCGATGATGCATGTATAGTTAGATGGAGTTTTGTAATGCTGTATAAGGGTTCTAGGTCAGGAGGATATACTCGCAGAGAGGAAAGCGTAATAGCCAGACGTAGAGATTCGAGGAAATGTAAAGCCTCTAATCTTTTCAGGAGCTTAGGTACAACATGGAATGGGAGTGTTAGGGTGAGCGTAACTAGATTCACAAGTCGAGGGAGCAGTTGTAAAAGAAATTCGGGGGATTGGTGATATGCAAAACTTCGAATTGGAAGCACGGTTCCTTTAAAGGCGGTTGAGTTATCCACTTGATGCGCCTCCCTCAAGGTGACGTTCTCGATAGAGGGTAGGGCCTCGAGTATCGGCATGATAACACCTAGAATCTCGTCTGTCGAAAACGTGCATATAGAAAGGGCATTGGGGTGACTCAGCATTTCATGAGTGAGAAAAATACCATCAACATGGATTAGAGGGCTTTCTAAAGAATTCCATGAATGTTCCAAAGCGGGACATCTCGTTGTCCAAATTTGACATATCTCTTCTAGTTGAGGAAGAGGTGACAAGTGTTCGATTACTTTCTTGAAGCTATCCTGATTTGGTATTCGTTCCATTGCTATTCTCTTGATTCGTCCATGGTGTTCCTTGAGCATACTCACGACAGCTCTCCAGTAAAACCATTGACTCCGGAATACCAGAGTCAAGGGTATATTCTGAGAGAGTTCGATATGGATTGCTATACGGCCTAAGAGGTCTGGAATCGGATAACCGATGTCAATCGTGGCCCAGAGTGAGGGTGTATCAATGATGATGGCTTGCCATCTCTTAGATACTAGCGTCAATGTTAGGAGGAAAGTGCTGTTTAGAGCATAACAGCTTGCCACCGGCTGAAGTAAGGCATCCTCAAGGATCATTATTCCGATCTCTGGTGGAAGCGCCTCTAATGGATCGGGATAGACTTGACTATCATCCCGATAGTCCTCATCTATTAGTCAGTTTTACTCCTGTTTCAGTCTGTCCAAGCGTCCCCTTTGATTGGAGTCGAAGGTTTGATGCTGAAGTTGTTCGATATCTATGGATAGTGTACGCAGTCTATTCTGTAGTTCAATGCCAGACATTACACTCCTATAGCCTATTGTAAGCCGGTTTG